CAAATGAATGGGGAACGGATATACGTGATATACATCTTACACATGATTGACATACATTTTATGCATGTATAAAATGTTACAAGGGAACCATTATTATGTACAAAAATATGTACTAATAATAATAATAAGGAAATAAAAGGAGTGTCATCCTCATTGTCTCCCTCGCAAAGAAGCTCTCTATGACTCATATGGGGAAGTGTAAAGGTGAATCGTTCAACCATCCTTACCAAGGAGCATGCAGTGATGATAGCTCAGTAGATAGAGCATGCCTGCCCTGAGCTCCTCAGGCCCTAAGTCCTTACTCAGTGTCCTCATCTGAACACCCTGCAGGGCCATGGTCTCACTTGTTCACTGATGACTGCACATTAAGAATAATGATCTCCTTTCCTCTAGACCTAAGGCAAAACAAGATGGGCATCCATGAAGCAAGAGATACATTTGCCTTCACAGAATTAAAATATATTCCTTCCCTAGCAAAAAAAAAAAATATCATAAAGAGAATGAGAAAACAACTCACAAACTTGGAGAAATAATTTTCTAAAGACATAGCTGATAGAAGGCTGTTTCAAAATATTCAAGAATATCTAAACCTAAATGACAAAAATTCAATGGAAAAATAGGGGAAAGATCTGAAAAGATGCCTAAGCAAAAGATACAGAATATACATAAGTATGTATGTCCTGACATCACAGGTCACTAGACACCTCAAACTAAAACAAAAATGCAGTTCCACTACACGTCTATTAGAAGGCCCAAATCCAAAACTCGGACAACAGAAAACCTTGGTGGTAGGCAAAAGTTTCTGAGGCTACTAGAAAATGGCAATAACATCTCTGCTTTGGGAAGATCCCCTAAAACAGGGAAGTAGGAAGAGAAGTTGGGGGCCACTTGGAGACACTGGAATTCAGCTTGGGCCTTGTGGTGTTTCTCACAAGCATGGACGGGACCCTTTTCATCCTGAGACAGGATGACTGGTCAGAGACAGATGACAAGAATGTGGGGTGAAGTGCAGGCGATGCAGGCACCAAGACTGTGCAACGTGAACCCAGATTCATCACTGGTGAGGATGCAAACTAGCACAATCACTTTGGAAGACAATTTGGAAGTTTCCTACAAAACCATTCAGACTTTTGCTATAGAATACAACCATTATGCTACTCGATATTCACCCAAACAAGTAAAAAATGTAACATCTATGCAACAATCTGCACATGATGGTTTATGGCAGTTTTATCCAAAGTTGCCCAAATTAGTAGCAATCAAGATGCTTGTCAGTTTGTGATCAGATAGATAAACTGTGGTGCATTCAGACTATGTTAATAAAACTAAAGCCCTGATCTTTAGCTGTGACCTTACTACTTCAACTGGGCATAACTTGAACAAATTTTGTGTGGTAAAGGGTCCACAAACTGAGTTTTCTTTAAGAAAAATGAATGAGTTATTAAAGCATGAAAAGATACAGAAGAAACTTATGTATATATTACTTAGTGAAAGAAATCAATATGGAGACTATGTATGGTGAATGTTTTATATGACATTCTAGAGAAAGGCAAAACTGTAGAGACAGTAATATAGTGACAGTAACTAGCACTCAGAGGGAAGTATGACATGAACATAAGGAACCACAAGGATTTTTCAGTGAAACAGTGCTATAGTGATAAATTCTCATTATATATTAGGAATTTGTCAAAGACGACATAATATACAACACCAAGAATGAAGTATAATATAAACTATGGAATATATCCCTGCACCTTTTATGTAGCCCTCATTCATGAAAATGAAGGTGACTGACCTTATCAGTCCACAAATATCCTTGATTTCTAAGATGTGGCAGACAAAGGCTGAAGAGACACCTCAGTCCGAAAAGCATTTGCCGTGAAAGTATGTGGACCTGATTTCAGTTCCCAGTAGTTGAATGCAGTGGTGTGTCCTTGTAATCCTAGCGCTGGGCTGGCAGAAACACAAAGATCCCAGGGGCTTGCTGGCTGACCAGCCTAGCCTCCTTGGCAAGTTCTAGGCCAGTAAGAAGCCCTGAGGACTAAAAAAAAACGTGTCTAGTGCCTGACAACAAACAACAATCATAGTGGACCTCTGACCTCCTCACATACCTATCCCCTCACCCAACATACAGAAGTAGCAGACAAATTTATGTTTTGTGTTGGAATTCTCATTGACACTTAACTCAGGAGCCTAAATATAACTCATTGTGGGACCATACTTTTGCTAAGCAGGGTGTGAGGGTGGTTTTGACTTACATTGATGCCCGAAATCTCTAAAGTCTGAGAGAGAATTCTATGGAGGTCTCACTGATAGAGGCTTGATAGTTTTAGCACTATTCAGAGCATACACTTTCAACCTGCCATACCTTGAAAATCTTCCATCTCAAGGTCTGAGTCACCCAAGCCTGAGGCCCAAGGTCTTCATGTTCCAGACATCTCTGAAGGAGAAATCAGCCCCACTCCGTTAAGGGTGTGTGGAAACTGTGAGCCTATCACAGGGTCAGGATACGAGGAAGCACATTGGTCTGGGTGTTTCTCCACTTCCTCATCATTGCATACAATTTCTCATTGATTTAAGACTCTCTCTCTACTGATGTAAGGCAATTCTCCTTTGGGTAAGACAGACCCTGAGAACCTTTACTGTTGGGGTAGGTGATCCTCTGGCCGACAGCCCTGCCTAGCATGTTATTTATTCATGTTGCTAGATCACAGATTCACTGGGAAACACCAAATTCCTAAAATTGACCAGTTCCTCTCTACTAGAGGAAAATCGTAACACAGGAAGGGACCTTGGACAGATGCTTCTTTAGAAAAACACAGGTTTGTTCTTTTCTTTTTTCATTACAAGTCAGATTTAGCCTCCTATGTTTACATTGAAAATGTTATAATTTTCAAAAAGAAAATTGTGCAGAATGGTGGAATATGAGTGCATTATCTGATTTGCCCATGTAATCATGGTTTTATCAATATTTTCTATCTTTCATTCTCACTGTATCTCAGATTTTTTTTGCTTTAGTTATGTGTTTCAAACTAGTGGATTAGCCACTAAATCTCTCTTTGGAAAAAAATATCAGGATCCTAACCCCAGGGTCTAGCTGGGTATGACCACCTCATTCTCTCCTGCATGCACCCTCCCCAATGCCCAAGATCTAGCCTGGGATCTTCTTGGCTTAGTCTGGTCACCACTGCCTGAGCTGTCCCCAAAGTCTACACTTTTGCCAAGATCTGCCCAACACCACATCCAACCTCTTGGCCAAACTAGATCCTGAACAGCTTTTTCCAATCTAAAGGCCCCTTTTGAGCCACATCTAACCTGTTAATTCAGTCATAGCCTGCACAGCCTTCACCAGGTGAGTCTGCCTCTTCCCATTCACCCTCTCTAATCTTCTACATCGACCAAACTACATCTACAGACCAAACTCCAGACCCCTATCTTGTAGGAATGCCTAAGTGTGTATAAGACATGTAGAACTATGGAAATATTTTTTAAAATAACAATTCTTGTTATGATTCATTTTCCTTTGATGTTATAGTGACCACACTGTTTTTAAAGCCAGGTTCTATATTAGAAATTATATCACATTCCAGGACAATGAAAACACTACTAGATAATGTGCTACTTAGCAAGGAAAACTAAATACTATGTTTTCCTATGAAAAAATCAATTACTTTTTAAAGCAATTTTTAAAACTTTTTTTTTAAGATTTATTTATTTTGTATACAGTGTTCTGTCCGAATATATGCCTTCATGTCATAAGAGGGCGCCAGATCTCATTACAGATCTTTGTGAGCCAACATGTGGTTGCTGGGAATTGAACTCAGGACCTCTGGAAGAGCAGCCTGTGCTCTTAACCTCTGAGCCATCTCTCCAGCCCTGAAAGATCAATTTCTGTGTGAGGTCAGCCTTCCCCAGTTGATGCAGCACAATGTTTTTAAAACGTACTTCCTCCCTTTGAGGTGCCATTCCAGTAAAGTCACTTTAAATTTTATCCCTCTTAGCCCCTACTGAAAACGTTTGAAAGTTGCCAAATTGCATACAGTGTAACCTGATTAGTGCCCTCTTAAGAGGGCAAGCTCTGGATTCCCCAGCATATCACTCATTTCTCAGATTCTGTGTGTATAGAACACTCGGGTTATTCAGCAATCTTTAACTCCTGACGGGCTTACAGGATACTTTCTGTCCCTGCCAGTTTTCTCACAACCCCCCACAAATAAATGCCAAGGACATTTTGCCTTTCACAGCTTCATTTCTCAATTCTGAAGGTTCCTGTTCCTCACTCCCACATCCTAAGCTATCCCACCTGGTAGCCTCATTTAAATTATTTCCCACGGAAAGGCTTGAAGTTTCCTAAGACCCAACTTGGCATTAATCAAATAATTTTCATTTGATTATTTTCTTGTAAACATTCCTTCCTAGCCGGGCACTGGTGGCACATGCCTTTAATCTCAGCATTTAGGAGGCAGAGGTGGGTGAATCATTGAGTTCAAGGTCGGCAAGTTCCAGGACAGCAAAGGCTACAGAGAGAAATCCTGCCTCAAAAGACAAAGAACAAAAACAAAAACAAAACAAAAAAACCCAAACAAACAAAAAAACCCAAAAAATACCACCACCAGAAAACCACTTCCTTCCCTCCATTAATTGTACTGGTTAATTACTACCTCTTCTTTATCTTAGCCCTCCCAGTACTAGCATGGAGTTTTCTAAGAGAATATGGTCAAATGACTGTTATGAAACAGATAAGTATATGAGCATTTGGGCCTAACTGACTACTACTTAAGTCCACATTTTTTAATTAAAATATTCTCATACAATAAATTCTGATCACATTGTTTCCCTTATTCAACCTCCTCCCAGGTAAATAAACCAAAGACATTTGTTTAACTCTTTTATTAAATATAGAGAAAAAGTTTTAATGCAAATATTAACCACATTACTATTTTTCTATTTCTCTATTTCATATATTCTACTGTTGAACTATTTAAAATTTTAGAGAAATGTTTTTTACAATTCTATCTTATTTTGAAGTAGATAGATTAGCTAATAAAAGCTTCGCCAATTTCTTTTATAATGAAACTCTTTCTTTTAACACTGATGAACATGTGTGAACAATATAGTCTTTATTAAACGAATCATACTGATAGATTAAAAAGAACATTTGAAAAAAATGAAATTAAACAAAAGGCAGATAATTTTCCAAACTGCCCATACAGAACAGGAACACAAAGCTATTCACCACCTTCCCTCTAGCTACACACAGTCCTTCACTACCTCTTTCAGTAGCTGCCCTCTTGAACTCCAGAGTAAAATCAAAAAGCTCTAACTTGCCCAGATGTGGGAGGACCTGTTTGACATGGTTGTGGAACACTTAACTGCCGTGGATTAATGTGTCACTGAGTATGCCTGCAGCTCCAGCTCGCTCTTCCTCATCTCTCAGAGCCTCATCATACCGGGACTGGAAGGCACTGGGAACTGTGTGGTTGATCTTAGCCCAAAACTCCAGGATCCTCATCTTGCTTGTCTCAGCATGAGATCTGGGGCCCCACCGAAACTCATAGCTTGCAGGATGGCTGTTAGGCACCTGACGGTACTCCAGGTATTTAAGCTTCACTAAATCTTGAGTGATAAGCTTCCTGGGTTCCCCAAAAATGAAATGTTTCTTTCCATCATATATTTTCATCTTGTTCAGGAATTCCCAGATCTTTTCCTCGCTGGCACAGTTTCCTTTCAGGAATATCACACCTAGGAGATTCATTAGCAGGCCAGTCTTGGGAAGTCCCCTGCCTCTAGTCACAGTGCCATTGTTAGGGAGATTCATTTTGCTGACAAGGGTATAGGAGTGCTTTATAGAATCCACTTCCTTTAAGTCCACACCGAATACCACCTCTATGTTGAAAGAAGCTTTTTTGAGGATTTCAAAGAAGCGTTTTCTATGCTCTTTGGTGATCACCTTCAGCACATCTGCTTTCAGAATGGGCTTTTTCATTTTATACATCTGCATCATGTATTTTACTACCACTCGGACTGTGCCAATCAGAGAGCTTCGAGGGGGCTTCATTGTGGAGGATGAGGCCTTGGAAGAATCCTGTTTTCTCTTATTTCTGTAGTTACCTCCTTTATATGACCTTGTAGGAGAAACACACTTAGACTCACTGGTAGAAAAGGCTCTCTGAGGCACCTTGGAAGTGCTTTGTAGCCTGCAGGCTGATTTTGTACGGGTAGTAACCCCTACATAAGGAGAAGTTGGAAGTAGAGAGCTTTTCTCCTTCATTGCAGGGGCCTGAACACTCTGGAGATCTCGGGTCTCACCTTCGGTCTGGTGGCATATTTCTCGGGCGTGGAGCTTACTCTTCTGACCCCGAGGCATGATGATCTTGTTCAGGAACAATACTCACGAGTGTAGGCTAGCAAGCCAGTGCTGCAGTCACCTGGAAAGAGAATGGGATTGCCTAAGTACCTCCAGCATAGACACAGACATAACTCTTGGCTTTAAGGAGCCCACCTTTTCAGGATTCCGAGAAAGTTGCTGTCCTAAGAAGTCAGGGGGTACTTGTTCTGCTCAGCCTGTCCTCTGATCACATTATGAAACTAAAGTGTGCTTTCCACTGCGGCCTGCCCTACTCCCTGCTTGGTGTGTACTGGGAATGCAAGCAGTGGTGGCAGGCTTAAGTCTGGTGGAACCCCCTTTCCTCTGCGGGGGG